CTTGCTTTGTCAAAGATTAATTGACCATATAATTGTGGGTTTATTTCTGGGTTTTCTATTCTGTTCCATTGATCTGTGTCTATTTTTATACCAGTAGCATACTGTTTCGATTACACAGCATTATAATATAACTTGAAATCTGGAATTGTGACACTTCCAGTTTTGTTTTTCTTTTTCAAGATTGCTTTAGCTATTCGAGTCTTTGTGATTCCATATAAATTTTAGAATTGTTCTCGTTCTGTGAAAAATGCTGTTGGTATTTTGATAGGGATTGCATTAAGTGTGTAGATTGCTTTGAGTATTATAGACAGTTTAACAATATTTGTTCTTCCTACCCATGAGCGTGGGATGTCTTTCCATTTCTTTGTGTCCTCTTCAGTTTCTTTCATCAGTGTTTTATAGTTTTCAGAGTACAGGTCTTTCACCTCTTTGGTTAAGTTTATTCCTAGTAATTTTATTGTTTTCATAATTTCACTTTCTGCTGCTTCATTATTAGTGTATAGGAATGCAACAGATTTCTGTACACTGATTTTGTATCCTGTGACTTTCTGAATTCATTTATCAGTTCCAGTGGTTTTTGGTGGGGTCTTTCAGGTTTTCTATCTATAGTATCATGTCATCTACAAACAGTGAAAGTTTTATTTCTTTCTTACTGATTTGGATGCCTTTTATTTCTTTTTGTTGTCTGATTGCTGGAGCTAGGTCTTCTGGTACTGTGTTAAATAAAAGTGGAGAACCTACCCAACTTTGGACTTTCTCTTATGTGGAAGAATAAATGTCCTTATTATTTGTATGGTTTTCTAATACTAGTAACCAAAGCATCCTGATACTGATGCTTTGTTTTTTTAATTACAGAATAATATGTTTTGTACAAAATAATAGATGTTTAAAATATAAAATGTGTTCATTTTATAACATCTGTATGATAGCTCACTTTTTGAGGGTCTTTTGGTACAAATTCCTTTGGCTCCCTGATTATCCTTTTTCTTCCATTCCTCCAAAGCTCTATCCTAAGGTCTCTTTCAATGAGCTCTCATATTCTGTGATTCAGTCATTCACTTCATGCAGATGACTTTATATTTCCAGCCTCACATTTCCCTTAATCTCAGTTCTATTTTTTCAACTGCCTGCAGGTCATCTCCTTTTATGACTTACTGTAATTTCAGGGTCAGCAGGGCACACATTGGATTAATTCTTCATTCTTCATATCCCTCCTTTCTCCCTCCACATCCCCCAAAATTCATGCAACCCTTCTTTCAAAGGAAATCCTCTTGCTGACTGTGAAGATGAACCATTGCTGGGACATTGAAACCTCATTTGAGGGAATTCATCACATATAGCCTTTTATAATTTGAAAAAATATGAATGAAGGACTTTTTTTTTAAATAAAACAACAACCTGTGGCTCAGGCATAATGATTTGGGATTTTTTGGCTTTCTTAACAGTCTCAACATTGTTCATCTCTTGTTTCTTGTTGTCTTAATACATTTTCATCTGTTTCATCAGTGAAGCAGACTTCCCATTTCCTTTCCATTGTCATGCTTTCTCTTCCACATTTCATGGTTTTTCTTTTCATTTCTTTTAGCTTCACCTAGACACTCTGGAATAATCTTTTTCCTTCATTCCCTTTGTCTACTCAATTATATCTTCCTTTAGAAGATCTCATATTTGCCCTTCTTCATTTCTTAATAGTATAGACATTTATCATCTCATCCCTGGATTAATAAAATAGCCCCTTAGCCAGTGTTCTTTTTTCTGGTTTTTACTCATTCTTTAAAAAAAAAAAGATGTTATTTATTTATTTGAGAGAGTGAGCAAGAGAGAGTGCACATGAGCATGAGCAGGGGGAGAGGGAGAGGAAAGGGAGCAGCAGACTCTCTGCTGAGCAGGGAGCCTGATGTGGGGCTGGATCCCGGGGCCCTGGGATCATGACCCGACCTGAAGGCATACACTTAACTGACTGAAGCACCCAGGTGCCCTTGGTTTTTCTTCATTCTTGTTGCCAAAATGACTTTACTGGGTTACTAGTTTGATGCATTGCTTCTATGTGCCTGACATGCTAGATACTTAGTATATATAGAAGGAATGGGGTAGATTGAATAGTTCTCTTTTGCCTACCAAATCAAGTCCCAAATTTCTTTCCAGCTTTATTGAGATATCATTGACATATAACATTGTGTAAGTTTAGGTGTACAACATATTGATTTAGTCCCATACTTCTTTAATTGGCTTTTCAGAGCTTCCATGGTCTGGCCCCATTCTATATCTTCAACATCATTTCCTACTGCTTCTTAAGCATCTTCTGTTCTATTTCATGCAAAGTCTTTGTTGCAATCATCGTAATTCTTCATTATTCCTTCCTTTTTGCCTTTGCTCTCCTCCATATCCCCTCCCCACACTTTAATTCAACTTACTTGAATTAAACAGGATTGAGTCAGGAAATAGATGGCACCTTGGAATGGGTAAAAGGAAAGTTTGATGAAGAAGCTGTTTACAAAGTTAAGGGCAGGGTTCAGGGAAACCAGGAGGAGCATTGAAGCACCACAGGGATAGAAGCGGTGGGGGGATGATTATACCACGTAAACCTGAGGGGGCAAGGGAAGGAAGCAGATACTGGGAACCTGGAGAGAGCTGTAGGTGCAGTGATCTTTGGTAAAGGTAGAGAGCTATTGTCATTTTGTGTCCATGTAGGGAGGAAACAGGGAAATACCTCAGTCTGTCTTCCCAGCATACTGATTTGCTGGTGCTCTCCAGAGATTGAACCCAACCAGGAGCCAGAGGGCAAGAAAAATTGTTTGCTATATCCACAGATATCAGCACACAGGGGACAGAGCAGTGTGAAGAAAGGGTGGAGAGTGAGTCAGGACAGATAAATGGAGGATATCTGCTATACTATTCATTCTTCAAGGCATACCTCCTTTGTTCAGACTTCTTTCATTATTCAGTACATGTTGATTGTTGTCTTTGTACCGGCCATTAATTTGTCTGCCTGCTTTTCTAAGAGTCGAGTCCTATCTCTTGATCCATGTGCAGTTACTTTAGCAGTCGTTTTATGCAATGCACATATCTGAAAGGGACATGTGAACTAAAACCATTAATCCTTCTTCCTGGATTTTGAACTAGGTATTGAGTGGTTTTTATGTGGCATCTGAAGCTAGAACATGTAGAACTCTGGACGTATTGAAGCCCTATTTTCTGCTGCTCCTTTTTCAGCTACCTGAGTATTACACTTTTGATTTTCCACCTACCTCAGTTGACTGTACTTCTCAGCTTTCTATATTAGCTTCTTCTGTAATCCATGAGTGTTGGAGTTCTTTAGGACCCAGTCATTTGCCATCTTCTTTCTTCTAACTGATAACTCTAAGTGATTGCCCCTGTTTCCATAGCTTAATATACTATTATATACTACACTATATATATATAGTATATATTGTATATAGGATATATATGTATATATCCTATACACTGATACTTAAGAAATACGTGTTTACTTTAGAAGAAAGAGAAAATACTAATCAGTACAATGAAGAAAATAACAATTTCCTGTAATCTATCACCCTAATGAATGAACTTTTTTCTACAAAAGAGTTTTTTGTTATTATTATTTATTCAGTTCTTACATACAATCTTTGAAAAACTAAAGTAATTAGTACACTGTAGGTTGTACTGTCACTGTTGACTGTAGTGGATGCCGCTCCTACCATTGTTGTCCATGGAAATGTGTTGTTACTAGCATTGCCCCTAAAGCCTACAACAGAAGGGTTTGCAACAGTTCTTGTTCTTTGTGACACTGCTTCCTGATCCAATATCTGGGACAGGTGCATCTGATTAGCAGAATCTGGCCTCATGCTTATAAAACTAGTATCTGGCATTTCTGGCTCCTCTATGGACAGTGGACTTTTATAATGTAGAATTCCTCCAAAATTCAAAGGGAGTCCAGATACTGTGTAGTCAAGAACGTGAAAATCGGATTCTTGAGTATTTAATATAGTCAGTATACACAGAACAGCAGAAAAATAAAGTACACACCAATTTAGAAGTTGGTATTTTAGAATTATAATGTGTTTGGATGATATCTGTTAAGCTAAGTGAACATGTAACTTCACAAATGAAGACTTCTTTTGTATCTTCCTCAATTCTAATAATCTGTAATGATGCTAGAGTTATTTTTCTGAATTACAAATTTTATGTCTTTCTCCTACTCAAAATCCTTCAATTATTAATTCCTCATTGCCTATACGATAAAATTAAAGCTCTTTTTAGCTTGGCCTACAAATCCCTTTCAATATTTGAATCCTGTCAGATTTCTAGCCACAAACATGAATACTCTACTCCTCCCCCTCATCCATTACATAGTAGCTCCGGCCATAATCTATTCTGTTTCCCTGAAAAGTGCCATACTCTTTCGTGTTTCTGCACGTTTGTGCACGTACAGTCTTTTTGTCTAGAATGTCTACATTTTTGTCCTCTTTGCAAGTTTATCTTTAAAGACTCAATTCAGAAACCACTTTTCTTAATAATGCCTTCTTGATGCCCTCCACCAATCTCTTTATTTATGCTTCTATACATTCCTGTAATATAGCACTCATCACATTAGATTATGATTATTTCTCACACAAATTTTTCTTATTAGATGCTAATGAACTTGGAAATTGATAATCTTTTATTATTTTTTTTATCTCAAGATTTTTGTTAAATAAGTTGAAAACACCCTACTTCTGGTTGGTTAGTTCATTTGGTTAGTATCTTTTTAAGGGAAATTAGCTCTTTTTAAGGGAAAAAAATCATGCATTCTATCCCTGTAGCATTCCCACCTTGGCTAATTATCTTGCAAGGGAACTAGGGGAAATAGACCTTGATGGACCAGTAGTATTATCTTGATATGTGAAATACAGTAAATTATAATGATAGGTTTAAAATGGACTTTAAAACTGTCAGAAAATACCTTGCTTTGATGAAATGTTTATACTGAACTTACTGTTTATATTTCTTATGTTAAGGAACTAAAACAAGTTACGTCAGACTTGATAAAGTCCAAGGTCACATGTCAACATAAGATGGGAGAAGAAAACATCCATTTAACAATTAAAGAACAAAAATTTCAAGAACTTCAAGAAAGACTCAACATGGTATTTAATTAAATGTATTCATGTTTATATAATTGTTTTCATAAAATGAGAATTCCAGGCTTATAATACAAAAATGTTCCTTCTTTGTAAAGTTAATATACATAGTAAAAAAAGATATTGTGAATTATTTTTTGTTATTAGGTAATTTTTGCCATTATCGGCAGGAATTTAAGACAAAATTTGTCTATAACCATTTTGTTTCCACTTTAATATAATGTCAGGTAATCTGTGGTACAGAGGTGTCTCCAGAAAAGCTTTTGGAGATGAGGAATTTTGTAATTTTTTAACGTGAATATTTATAAATTTGCACAGCAGCTGGTGCTGGGTGTCTCGTACCACCTTCATTTCACTAGGAGCCACTGCTTCACCAGCAAATGAATGTTGGTACTCTGGGGTAGGAGAAGGGTTCCTGACTCTCCTAAACGTATTGAGCACTGAATGAAATATAGAATTTGCTGAATTTTATATCATAACTTTAAAATTACTCAATTTTTTAAAGGAGTTGGAATTAAATAAGAAGATTAATGAAGAGATCACACATATTCAAGGAGAAAAAAAGGCAAGCAATCATAAGACATTTTGAGAGCCAGTAAATATTTTTAAAAGCAGGTATAATGTGGGAAATAAAGAAGTTAAGTTAAATAACAAATGGAATCATGTCTAGGTCAGTTCCTGGCACATAGTAAGTACTCAGTTAGGGCCTATTGAATGGATACAAGTGTACCTTTTTAATCGGGTCTCACATATGCTCCATTAAAAAATAAATCCAAGGAATGGGGAGATGTTCATCCAAGGGTACAAACTTCAGGTATAAGATGAGTAAGTTCCGGGAGTTTAATGAACAGCATGATGGTTTTAGTTAACAAAACTGTGTTATATATTTGAAAGTTGTTAAGAGAGTAGATCATAAATAATCTCATCACACACAAAACTGGTAATTATGTGAAGTGATAGAGATGTTAATTAATCTTATTAGGGTAATCATTTAGCACTATATATATGTATCAAATCATGTACAACTTGAGTTTATAGAATATGTCAATTATATCTTAATAAAGTTGGAAAATATTACATTAAAATATTTAATGAATAAATAGAATAAAAATAAATCAGTTTTTTCCTTGATAGTTTAGACTATTGGTACCCTAGCAGATAATTATTGAAATATATGTATGCTTAGAGCATGCATTTATAGGATGTTATACCCTCATTTGAATTTATTTGATATTTATAATTCTTCTATTTAAAAAAGGTCTGTGAAAGAAAAGTTCTCCTGTGTCTTTTTTTTTTTTCTGCTTTTCCTCCATTTCATTCTGAATACAATACTATGACATCCTAGCTCATTAGCAATATGACATTTCAGGAGTGATACATTTTCTGTTTTTAAGACAAGCCAACAAAAGTTTTGGTTTTAAATTCTTTACACTTTCCAGTAGTGTCTCATGATTTAAAAAAACTGTTAGTTATTTGAAAAACTCTTGGATATAGTACTTTGTAAGAAATCATATAATGTAATTATTTTGTATATTAAGTTAGTAAAATGTGGTACTAGTTTATTTCACTGTCTTATTATGGTGTTAAAATTAAACTATAAAGGTAAGTTATGAAATTAGAAAATATAGTTTAAGAATTAATTTAGAAACATACCTACAATCTTAAAATTCTTCCAACTGATATATCATATTTATACTTTTTTAAAGGATATCATCATTTCTTTCCAGCATATGCAACAGTTACTTCAGCATCAAACTCAAGTTAGTACTGAACTGGAAGCAAAGTTGAAGGTGTTAAAAGAAAATAATCAGGTTGTATATAGTGATATAGATAGTATATTTCCATTTAAGAGCTTTACCTGTCTAGTTGCATTTATCTGCCCAACTTTATCTGAGATCATTTTGAATTTTAGGGATAAGATATGGCCTTCATCAACTTGGTATCAATGTCTAAAGTAATGAACGTATTTTTTTTTAACATTTAAGTTACTATTTAAATGTTCAATTTTATCAAGTATCTGACTTAATTTTGTAAAAGATTGGATGGGATTTTTTTTTTCTTTGTCTTAGAATTGTGACCAAGACCAAAACTGAAAATAGAAAAGAGTAGTTAGTGAATTTCCAGAAATTAAGGGCAGGTCCAAAAAAATGATTGGAGGGGGGAAGAAGTTATCGTCACTGATGTCTTGGGAGTGGGAGTTCAATAAGGGAGGCTTTTCTATTACATCCCTAGTTGGGAGGGGGAGTACATTTTCCTTCATAAGCTAAATGAAGGAGTCTATGTGAAAATCATGTAAAGACTGGGGTACAAAAAGGGGAAAGTGCCATCTTGTTTTGTAGATGGATGCTTGAGATGCTGTAGAAACTAAAAGGTCCACTCTGGTGTTGCCAATAGAGTAAAATGTGGTAAGTTCATGTGGAAGAACTTGGCATATGTTTCTTGAAGTTTGGAATTATACCAAGAACATATAGACTAGTGCACAGTTATGGTCCAGAGATTTTAAGGACAAAAGTTTTTGGATTGATATGTACCAATGGGGCTTGAAGTGTATTATCCTTGTTCTGATACTCTATGGCCCAGGAAAGGTGCAGAAGAGAGAACTTTGGTGGTTTCTAGGCTCCACATGAAGGAACATGGAGGTTAGTGGAAGGACAGAAATTGTCCTGTGTGCCACTGGCCAAGTGATGGGATGTCCAATTCAAGAGAAGGAGCTGGGCACGTGTTCCACTGGGGTGACTAGTGGAAGATATTTGTGCTCCTCTGAAGGGATTCTTGGTAATGAAGGTGAAGCTGAACATTTCTCAAGAAAACTACAGTCGCCTCCCATGTAAAGACCACTATCAGTGGAGGTCAAGGCTAACTTCCTGGGTATGTAATCAGTGCAGTTGCATGGGGACCCATACTCAGAAGGGCTTTGTGCTTCAGGCTTAACATTCTGTGTTCACTCTCTTGAAATTTTTATTAATTTTTTTTAAAGATTTTATTTATTTATTTGACAAAGAGACACAGCAAGACAGGGAACACAAGCAGGGAGAGTGGGAGAGGGAGAAGCAGGCCTCCCGTGGAGCAGGGAGCCCAACGTGGGGCTCGATCCCAGGACCCTGGGATCATGACCTGAGCTGAAGGCAGACGCTTAACGACTGAGCCACCCAGGCGTCCCGAAATTTTTATTAATTTTTGTCTCTGAATTTATGTTTTGTAAATTAAGTCTGATGGGAAAATGGAGCATGCATTAGGGGCTTAGAGCCTAAACTTTCTCTGTCTCCTGCTGCCTCGTAGGACCAGTTTTTGACTGCTGGCTTTGTTATCCTGGGCCCTGCCTGGCCTCATCCTCTTTGCATCTGCCCCACCACTGTTGTGGTCACATTGGTGGGGAAAGGTCTGTGTTCTACTGTTGTTCCTTACTTTTGGTGGAGGCCTAAATATAACAGGGAGGGTCTGGGTCCATTGCATGTGCCCTACAACATCCTGTCTCAGGTTGGCAGTGTGTTGGCACATTAGGTAGATGACTTGGCAGGGAGTCAGTCCTCAATCCAGATACTGAGGTATATCCCTGCCTGGCAGTTGCTGTGGGTTGGGGGTTACCCATCTGCCATGGATTGGGGCAGAGGTCCCATGGGAAAGAAAGATTGACTTCCCCACCTCCAGCCAGGGCATAGTACATGGGTCTAGTAGCTTGCAGGAGGTAGAACCCCATAGCTGGTGGATCTTGCTTGTTCTGAGTTGTGTGATGAGGCCCTTAGGCATCTGTGAGGATCTGCATTTGCCCTGTGAATATCCCCCTGCCCAGGGATCCATGACATTAAATAGAAAATAAAAAACACCATGATAAGTTGACAGGGAGAGAAAGAAGGAGGGGGGGTGTGTGGTAACCATGAAGGAAGGAAAAGGTTTTGTATTTTAGTACCTTTTTTTTTTTTTTTAAAGATTTTATTTATTTATTTGAGAGAGAGAGAATGAGAGAGAGAGAGCACATGAGAGAGGGGAGGGTCAGAGGGAGAAGCAGGCTCCCTGCCGAGCAGGGAGCCCGATGCGGGACTCGATCCTGGGACTCCAGGATCATGACCTGAGCCGAAGGCAGTCGCTTAACCAACTGAGCCACCCAGGCGCCCTTTTAGTACCTTTAATAGTGCGTTTTCCCTGCTTTTTTCATCTTGCATTGGGCCCCACAAATTATGCTGACTTCATCATCATTGAATGGAACCACACTTAACCTGAACAATGCAAGATTTGTCTCCTCACCATTGATGTTCTTTGACTAATCATGTAAAGAGAGTTTTGCCCTCTTCATTTCTCTTGCCTGGCCCCAATACTGTAAAACTTAGACCTGGGAGAGGGACGAAGCATTCTGGCATCAAACTCTTCCTTCCTTTTCCCCTTTTCCCCTCCTCCAGTAAGACTAGTGAAAAAATTTCTCTGAAAGTCCAGATATAAGCAAGTATCCCCCCACATCCTTTACCCACCCTACAGATAGATGAGTGGGACTTTCTCTAATACTTTGAACCTTCTCCCAAGAAACATAGAATAGAATTTACCCAAATTCTTTATGGAGTAGCAGTTATCAGGATTGTTTTCTTGTCCATTTAAAGGAGTTGAAACAGATTTTTTAGGATGAACAAAATGTTAGTGAACAGCCAATCCCATCATTTCATTTCATGGTGAACTAGAGATCCAAAAAGTGTAAACGATATAGTTCAAGGCTTCCTAATTAGTGGCAAACCCCAAATTAATTTTTTTTTTAGGATTTTATTTATTTATTTGAGAGAGAGCGAGCGAGAGAGGGAACACAAGCGGGGCAGTGTGAGAGGGAGAAGCAGGCTTCCCGCCGAGCAGGGAGCCTGATGTGGGGCTTGATCCGAGGACTCTGGGATCATGACCTGAGCTGAAGGCAGATGCTTAATGACTGAGCCATCCAGGCACCCCCCAGAATTAAATTTTTGACCTGATTCTACTCTAACACCGTTTCTACAACACTACAATGTTATTGTATTCTTCCTAGATTGGTGAGACTGCCACCTTTGTTAGATCACTTATTCTAAAACCACGACTTTTAAATTACCCTTCACGAGCTCTAAATGCAATGTTTATGTGTTGTTGAATTCTGTGGAGTGTGTAGTAGTCACAGAGACATACAGTCACGTGTTTCTTTGAGTTAACGAAGACTCTAACTATGGTCCCAGGATCTTTTACCTCTAAGTGCCAATATCTTAGATAATCCAGATGCCTATTTAACTAGCACCATTATTATTTGAGCCTTGATAGTACATAGAGGAACTAGATTTCATATGGAAATTTCGTGCAAAGTATTGACAAGAACAAGATAGAATTGTCAGCTTTTTATTTTGATAAGTAAGGACATTAAAAATAAGCAACACCATCTGTCCTCACTTTTATTTTATAAAAAAGAATATTTTAATGCCACATATTAAGGGTATAATCTCTGAATAGATACAGTCCTTTACAAGAAAAGACATTTGGTGACTTGTATAGACTTTGTTTGCCATTAACTAGTGAAATTTTGTCATGGATCAGTACTTGTTTATAGACTGGTGTTGGAGAACCACTGATATATAGTATAACAAAATATTAGTGTTGAACTGTTGCTGAAGATTATGCTGCGTAGATATCTCAGGTGTTTTTCTTGAGGAGCATTCTAATTCTACCTGTATTAAAAGGGATCATTACTCTTCATAATGGCCTACTTTTTTTCAGTGCTCTGCAATCATGCTGTCATCTGTCTCGTTTTTTTAATAGTACAGTTTGGAGCATAGAGACCTGAATTCCCATGAGAGAGAATATTTTCTACTATGATTTAATTATAGTTTAGTCTAAATGTAGTGTAGTTCTGCTGCTGTAGTCATAGTGTTTAACCAGAATAATTTACTTAGTTTGCTCCTGTAGTAATAGTATTAGCCAGGGTTAAATTACTTCGTTTTTGGTATATTAAAACATTAACAGATGATTTTATTTTGACTTGCTGCAATATTCATTTTTTTCAGAATGGTTTTTGGGTTTGTTAATCCAGATACAAATAATTTTCTGATAAAGTCTAAATTCCACGAGAACAGTAACAGTTTCATGCATGTAGCATTAAGAGCCTAAAAGAGTATCTGGCACACAGTAGGAGCTCATTAAATTTTATTAAATTAATGAATGATTAAAAATGAATAAATTCAGAATCTTTGTAAGTTCAGATATTGCCAGATCTGGGCTTCTGGTTAAACATGTTGAATTGAACCTACACATTAACTTCTATTTCCTTCTGAAACTGTAATAAAATGACATTAATAAATCCACAAGGACAAGTAAATAAAGAGAAGAAACAATAAAAATTAAGTTTTAAGTGGGGACAAAATGGAAAATTAGTAATTTACTTAGCAAATGAAAGAAAGTAGAAACTCCAGTCAAAGCTGCAGGAATGCTCAGGAATTGCAGCATCATGTGTCTCTAGAAGTGGATGTGCAGTGGAAGCCAAGAGCTAGAAGGTCTATATAAAAAGCTAGAAGCTATCTTACCTCCCAATTCTCTTCCCTACCCTGCACAAAAAGGCACTGCCTATCTTCTACTTGGCAGAAGATTGGAAATTTATGTTGGAGAGTTTGAGGGACAACTGAGGTTGGGAAATCCAGTAGTATTCTTGAGACAGCTTATACCAGGGAGAGCTGTTTGTTAAAGCTGTTGTCATTTTGTGAGCTGGTTGTAAAACTAGTGGTGGCTTGAAATTGCCCTTGGTTGGAATGTTTAAAATGGACAAATGCTGGAAAAAAATTTTTAGAGCCAATTTACCGATATGTTACTGAGAGAATTATATTGAAAACAGGGTGGAAATCTAAATACTGAAATCTGAGACCTTCCTGCTCTGTTTCCCCATTTAGAGGACAGCTAGCTTTACCACTTCCAGACAGGAGAATGAAATTTCCTCTCTGGGGAACTAACTTGCTCAGGCTGTTCCAGTGAAGTGCTCCCGGTGAAATTGCTCAACCAGATCAACCTACAGTGAAGCCCATCATTTGACAAAACTTTCAACCAGCTTTTTAATACTTCATTCTGAATATGAACATGCAGTTAAGGATCACTGGGCACTTGAAGAAAGTCTCTGCCATGCAAATCAGACAAAATGAACAGGGTAATGAAAAAAAAATTTAGAGAAACTAAGAAAATACACACTATTAAGAGAAATATATTTATTAATCCATAAAAACAAGAATTAGGAGTCTTTAGATAAAGAAACACTCAGAATTAAAGAGAAACTTTAAAATAAATATTTTAGCAGACATAAAAAGTACAGTGAAAAGTATGGAGGGTAATATTGAGATAGTCTTCTAGAAAGTAGAATCAAAAGACAAGAAGATGGAAAACAGAAGGGAAAGAATATTAGGGATTCAGTCCAAGAAGTCTAATGAGTTTCAGAGAGAACAGGGAAAATGGAAGGAGAGGAGATGACCAAAGAAATAATATGAGAATGTAACCTAGAACTGAAGAATTTGAGTTTGTTTTGCTCAAAACCAATGTATATCATTATGAAATTTTATACTAAAAGAGAAAAGATTCTAAAACTCTGTGGAAAAAAGAATTAGGTCACATATAAAGGATTAAGAATAAGAACGGCAACATAATGGCTTCAGGCTTCTCACTGGTAGTGCTGGAAGATAGAAGATAATAGAACCATGCCTTCAGTGGTTGGAGAGACATTGATTTTTTTTTTTTAACATTTTGTTTATTTATCTGAGAGACAGAGAAGGAGGGGGAGTAGAGGGGGAGGAAGAGGAACAAGGATACTCCTCGCTGAGTGTGGAGCCCTACATGGGGCTCAGTCTCATGACCCTGAGATCATGACCTGAGCCAAAATCAAGATTTGGAAGCTCAACTGACCGAGCCACCCAGACACCCCCAAGAAATTGATTTCTAAAGCAAAATTGTACTGTATTCAGCCAAATGAATTGTTATGTGTTGGTAGAAAAAAGATATTTTCAGACATGGAGGGCCTCAAAAAATGTGCCATCTGTGCCTCCTTTATCAAGAAGTAATGGAAGGTTTGCTTTACCAAGACAAGGGAATAAACCAGGAAAGAGGAAACAATAGGATTTAGGAACCAAGAGACCAACTGCAGAAGAGGGAAGGAAATCCTCAGAGGTCACCTGATCAGTGTAGCAAACTGAAAGAGCAATAGGTCCAAATTATAATGGCAGGATGGAAAGTCTCCAAAATGTGGAAACAGAGTATCTGAGGGGTGCCTGGGTGGCTCAGTCATTAAGCGTCTGCCTTCAGCTTGGGTCATGATCCCGGGGTCCTGGGATGGAGCCCCGCATCGGGCTCTCTGGTCAGTGGGAAGCCTGCTTCTCCCTCTCCCACTACCCCCTGCTTGTGTTCCCTCTCTTGCTGTGTCCCTCTGTCAAATAAATAAATAAAAATTTTTTTTTTAAATGAGAGTATCTGATATAGGCAGTTTCTTTTAGATGAGGGTATGGGTCTGGACAGGAAATGATTGACATATCTAATATGTTTAAGAACATAATACTCTTGGTTATTTATTATTATTAAATAGATATGGTAGTATATTCTCTCACATCTCCTCTAAACTTTGATTTGTATATCTTCCAAAATATGGTGTTATCAGTATAGATACTGAATTAGTTAAAATGTTAAAATAGTAAGCATCTATTAAATAAACACATTGTAAATATTTAGAAACTGCTCTATTATTTGCCTATAAATTAAGAAGAACACATGACTTCTATAAAAATATTTACATTATCTCGAAGTAAAGGCAGGCAAAATAGGTATTCATTGCAGGCTATCAAAGTGCAATAATGTTCTTTATGTGCTAGAGGAGAATTTTAATGTTAAAACTGTAAAATGCTTTTTACTAGGTATTTCCATAATTTTACATAATTACGTCATTACGTATTGGTATTCTAGATATAATTGAGAACTCTTTAAATAGATGGAATACTATGAAGCCTTTAAAATGAGATAGATCTGTACTTCATGGTATGGAAAGTAAGGAAGAACTACTCTTTTTTTTTTTTTTTTTTAAGAAAAAACAGATTGCAGAAGAACATGATATGTATGGTATGGTCTCATCTGTATTTAAAAAGATATATTTTATATACTTGTATGCTTAGAGACAATTTCTGGAAGGCTACGCAAGAAACTGTTAGAATGGTTACCTCTGGGGGAGGAGAACTGGAGAGCTGATAGAAGGACATGTTACCTTTCTTTCTGTATCCTTTGTGTGGCTTGAAATGTTTACCCTGAATGTAAATAACTTTAATAATGATAAACAAGTGAACTTAATTCCAGATGTATTAGACATGTAGGTAGAGTTCTTAACTATTTATCTTTTTACAGAAGTTTACTTGGATTATCAGCAGACATTGAAGAAACCTAGTAATATTGGTGACAATAATTTAATAACTTTAAAACCCTTGTCTTAGAAAACAGTAATTTTACTTTTAAAGGTTTTTTTGGGGGGGAGGGTGGTGTAGTGGTGATTATATTATGTTAATTTATGAAGTAATAAGTTAATATGGTAAATATTGAAGCTGTACTAAAAAAGTGTTAATTTGAAATTAAAAATTAAAATTGTATTTAAGGGTTTTCTAGCCAGTTAATTTCTAAAATAAACAGATATGGAAAAAATATTCTGTGGTAGTTAAAATTTTGTAGTAGAGTTAGGCTGGATTATGCTACATTTCATATTTTTCAATGCTGTACTTTATATTACTTTTTCAGGACATTAAAACTTATGCAGTGAAACTGAATAATGGCAATGTTTTTATACCCTTTTATAGCCATTTCTTTTTCATAACCTCCCCCTATTTCCTGTTAACTAAACTATAAGCACCTTTCTGTTAATTTATGAAAATTATTGTTGAGATAGCACATTATCACTGATCTGTATGGCACTTTCAGCATGTTAGAAGCAAAGGTCCAAGCAACATAAAACACATCAAAATTCATTAATGTGGTATTGATTATTTTTTGGATAATTAATTTTATTGCAGACCCTTGAAAGAGATAATGAGCTGCAAAGGGAGAAGGTAAAAGAAAATGAAGAAAAGTTCCTTAATCTTCAAAATGAGCATGAGAAAGCACTGGGAACTTGGAAAAAGCATGTAGGTTTATTAAATAATAAAATATTAAAATAATTTAAGTAGTTGTAGACATTTAAAATAACTATTAAATGCTAAGAAAATATTGCAAAAATAATATAGGAATAAAGTCAGACACATATTCTTCTTGAACTTGTATTTCCAAGAAGTAAATGCTGTTGAAAAGCTAAATTTAATAAAACTGTCTATAATGCTTTCATGCATGAAAAATCACACATTTGCATGTGTGTATATTTATAATAATATAAATATTGATATATATAATTTGAATGACTTCCCATATGTGACAAAAAAATTTATCTTTTCATAGAACAATTACATAGTATTTTAGAAAATGATTAAAATAATTATAGAGGTACTATTACCTGATCTAATTAGCTTTCCTCAACAGTTTTGTTGAGCTGTATTAAAGCCATGTTTAGAACATGTATACAGTAGTTGAGTTCTATGGTATTAACATTTTATCATAAAGAATTGATATGTTATAAACATAGCTGTTTCCTTAAGCCACATCCATTTATTTTACACTAAATTTTCATTTTAGTAGATAATAAAAGTATGAAATGGTATAAATTAAAGTTGTAAAATATAAAGGTTCACTTTAAAGATTGGTAGACCCCAAAATTGATTATTCTATTTTAATATGTATTTTCATTTCCTTTCAATTCTTTTAAAAGAATTAATACAGTAGAAAGTCACTATGAGTTTATGAAAACTATATTTTGGGAAAGATGATATTTTGGACTATTATACTAATTATGCTATATTTTTCCTAATACTATAATAATGTAACATATTTTATACTAATATATATCCAAATACTAGTTTGATAAACATTTTCTTGTAGACAATTTTGATATAAATTGTTATATAAGTAACTCTTGAGTTTTCACTTCATTCCCAGCTAACATGTTCCCTTAATTTGTATTTTGGCAAGATCAAGTCTTCACTGATGAATTTAGTTAAGATTTGTCCAAATCTCAAAAAGTATTTTGTAGTTACTTGCATCAGAATACTAAAAAATGCTTAATCTTTATAGTTTACTATTAAGCAACACGCATAGTAATATTCATTTTAGCTTCAGCAAATTCACATTGCATCCTAACACTTCCTTCTCAATCCCGATGTTTAAAAACCATGGAAATGGTACTGTCAGGATAAGGAAAACTGTAAAGTGAAAAGAGAATATACTGAAATATGTCAACCATGCCAAAAAGAGATTAGTTGCACTCAGAAAATTAAAATTCATTTTTCCCTGAGACCATAGCCATGCCCCTCCCACAAGGAAAAAATCAATTGAATGAAGAAAAATATGCATTCAGTTTCACTGGTGAGGCCTCAGTCTATAAATTTGTATGATATTGGTTTTGTCTTAGGATTTTTTAGCTTCTACAGTCATTTCACTTCAATATGCTTTAGCACTAAAGAGAATATAGTTAAGTAAGAAAAAGCTGAGGGTGCCTGGGTGGCTCAGTCGGTTAATAAGTGTCTGCCTTCAGCTCAGGTCATGATCCCAGGGTCCTGGGATTGAGTCCATCAGGCTCCCTGCTCAGTGGGGAGTCTGCTTCTCCCTCTCCCCTTGCCCCTCCCCCCTGCTCATGCTCTCTCTCTTACGCACGCTCTCTCAAATAATCTTTTTTTTTTTTTTTTTTTTTAAAGAAAAAGCTGCTATGGTTATATGTAAGAGTTTTCTTGAATGGGAGGTCAGATCTACTCTTTAATTGTATTTCTATCTCTATGTAAGTTTTTCACCATTCTTGAGTGAAGAACAGTAAAAGTATTCCTACTGAGTTTGGATTAAGATGGGTTTTTAAAACTTAAAAAGATACAGACAAAAATAAGATGGAATCATACAAATGGCTATTTCCCCAAAAAACAGTGAAAGAGATACTGTACAAATAAAATTTTGTGAATATTTTTAGAGAGTATAGTTAAAATTCATTTAAATATTACAAAACAGTGTATGTGTATCTGTTTTCATTTGACTAGTTCTATAGTAATGGGTATATATAGACAAAAAGACAATAAATGAGAATGTTCAGAAATTATTTAGAGGAGAGGGCAGGTCACAAAAGGAATTTAATTCACACCATTTATTGAGCATCTACTGTGTGTTAGGCATTATTCTAGGTACTGGATTTTGAGAGATGCCTAAGATACAAAGATCAATAAAGGGCTCACATTCAAATGGACAGATAACTATGAAATTGACTGCAATAGCATGGAGTGGTTTTAGTAGTATTAACAAATTACTGTGAAAGAACAAAATAAATCTTATCATTTAGCTAAGTTGGAGAAAGTTTTAGGGAAAAGATGACACTAGTTTGGCCCCGAAAGATAAATAAGGTTTCACCAACAATATGTGCCCATTTCCTATACTTCTCTTTCCATCTTGTTGGCATTCCATTTAGTAAAGAATGGGAAAAATCATGGAGGCGTGAAACTGCATTTTCAAGGGTGATGAGCAGTCTGATTTGAATAAAGCATAGGATATGTGGAATGTGACATTGGAAAATAGGTTGAGATCATCTTCCAAAAGGCTCCTTACTAAGGAAGTTGAATTTTATTTTATAAGTAATGGAAAGCCACTGAGAATATTAAAGCAGAGAAGTGACATAGTCAGATCTGAGTTTTAGAAAAATAACTCTTACAACAGTATGGAGGATGGCCTTATGGAGAGAGACCAGCAAGAATACTGTAAATAATCTAACCTTGAACCCATGAGGGTGTGAATTAGGGTAGTAGTAGTGAGAACAGAGAAGAGGAATAGATGTAAAAAACATTTAAAAGTAGAATTGTCAGGATAGTGATATTTTTTATTTGTTTATTTATTTATTTTAAAAGATTTTATTTATTTATATGACAGAGAGAGACAGCGAGAACAGGAACACAAGCAGGGGGAATGGGAGAGGGAGAAGCAGGCTTCCCGCGGAGCAGGGAGCCCGATGTGGGACTCGATCCCAGGACCCTGGGATCATGACCTGAGCCGAAGGCAGACGCTTAACGACTGAGCCACCCAGGCGCCCAGGATAGTGATATTTTTTATATAATAAAGATTAGAAGGAGAAAGGAGTCAAACATGACTCTGAGATTAGTATAACTAGTAGAATGATAATGTCATTAACTGACATAAGAAATGTGAAAGGAGAAGCAGATTTGGGAGATGAAAATAATGTGTTTAATTTGGAAGCTGTTGAATGTATAGTGCCTGCAGGACATCTAGCCTGAAATGCATACTATGCATTTGGAAATAAGAATCTAATCTTAGGAGAGAAGTTGGGAGATGAGATACAGATTTAAGGTTTATTAGCATAAAGATAAAATTTCAAGGTATAGTTATAATCATCTATTGAAGGAGTGGAGAACTATAGAAGAAGGCTAAAAAAAGAAAGAGTAGGGTGTGTGTGTGTGTTGGGGCAGGGTGGGAGGGGGAGCCTGGTAAGAACAGTGAGAAAGGTAGGAGGATAAAGGAAGAGTAATACCATGAAAACAAAGAAAAGAGGCTGTTCCAAGAATAAGTAGTCAGCATAGTCATGCTACAGAGCTGTTAAATGATATGAAACTTGGGAAAAATCCTTTTGCTAATTTGCAGGTTAAATCTGTGGGGTGGGGGGGAAATCTGTAGAACAGTGAGGGCACGAGTCAGGTTGTTAAGGAGTGATGGGAAGTTAGAATTTGAAAGTAGTCAAGTGTGGACTTTTATATTAAGGAAGTGGGAGGGGCGCCTGGTGGCTCAGTTCGTTAAGTGTCCAACTCTTGGTATCAGCTCAGTTCATGATCTCAGGGTTGTGAGATTGAGCCCCGCGTCATGCAACACTCTCAGTGGGGATTCTGCTCGAAGATTCTCTCCTTCTGCCCCTCCCCCAACCTATGGACACTCTCTCCTCTCTCTAAAATAAATCTTAAAAAAAAAAAAGGAGAGAGACAGTAATTGGGTCAAGGAGAAAAATGAGTTAAGGCTGTCAGAAGAGCATATTCTTTTTGTAAGGTTTGTTTGTTCTAGTTCTATTTGTAAGACTGAAGAGAACATGCTGGTATAGTGGGAAGGATTGTGAATAAGCAACAGAGAAAAGATTAGTGCTAGAACTAGGCCTTGAGGGGGATAGGAAAGGATGGGATAAAAAAATTCATGGAGAGTTGAGCCTTGGAAAAGAAGGACCTTGCACAGGTAGATCTTTAAAAGGTTAAAAATAGATGAGATGAAGGGAAAGTAATAGGTGAGTTCATGTCTGTTAGCCTCTACAGGGACTCGGTGGCACTTAACTTTGTCTTATATTTGAGGTTCCCAAGAAAGAGTACTCCCCCAAGAAAAAGATTATGAGATTTTAAATAGCCAGTGAAAGCCCCATTTATAGACGTAAATATTAGGCTGAAGTGTCAGTTATTTTTGCACTACTTAGTGCTCAATACTCGTCAGTCAGTTGAGTTAAGATCTGTATGTCTGATTTGCAACAAGAAAATAAAACTTCAAGAAAGTAATGAAGGTGTAACTTTTAGAGAATTTTAAAAATAATAATTTTTCATTTGTAACAAGAGGTCGGTTAATGTAGTAGTTAAGAATACAACCCATATATTTAGCTTTGGGTTTGGATCCCGACTATATCCACCTGATCTTGGCAAATTACTTAAACATATGTGAGCCTCACCTTTCTCACCTGTAAATTGGGGATTTTTATGAGTATGAAATTATACTTATTAAGTACTCAGCCCAATTCAATAAATGGTAGCTCTCAATATTAGTAATTACTTTGGGATCATTTTTATTTTTTTACTATTTCTAAAAGCTTGTATTAATAAAATATCTTCATACAAAACATTTTTTTAAAAGATAGATTTATTTATTTGAGAGAGAGAGAGCACGAGAGCAGCGGGGGGGGGGGGGCAGAGGGAAAGGGAGAGAATCTCAAGCTGACTCCCTGCTGAGTGCAGAGGCTAACCCAGGGCTTAATCTCATGACTCTGAGATCATGACCTGAGCTGAAACCAAGAGTCTGATGCTCAACTGACTGAACCACCTAGGCGCCCCCATACAAAACACATTTACATAACTGTTCATTTTGGTTAAATTTTATGTTAGGTTGACGAACTTAATGGAGAAATTAATGAAATTAAAAATGAGTTATCATCACTTAAAGAAACTCATATTAAGTTACAAGAACATTACAATGAATTATGTCATCAGAAGAAGTTTGAGGAAGACAAGAAGTTCCAGGTAAAGTTCAAGTGTTTGGGGGGTAGAAAATTTAAAGAAATTAGGACTATTATTGATGATTTTCTCTCTGCTTTGTATTTTCAGTGTCTCAACTTCTAAAAAATGAGTATAGCATGTAGTCTGTGATACATTTTCAGTTAATTTTTGTGTACAGTATGATATAAAGATTGAGGGTCATTTTTTGGACATGGATTTCCAGTTGTTCCAATACACACATTTTTTTAAAAAGACCTTTTTTCTCTCATTGCACCTTGGTATGTTCTTTGAAAATTAGTTGACTAATATATGTGTGGATCTATTTCTGAATTCTTTTATTATGTTCCATTGATTATATGTTTATCATTAAGTCAGTATACAACACTGTGTTTATTACTGTAGCTTTGTAAGAAGGCTTAAAATGTGGTAGTGCAAGTCCTTGAATTTTTTTTTTTCTTTTTCAAAATTGTTTTGGCTATTCTAAGTCCTTTGCATTTCCAGATAATTTTTAGAATCAGTTTGTCAATTTCTAAAAGACAGGTCTGTGGGATTTTGGGTTGTGTTGAATCTGTAGATTAATTTCTGAAGAATTGACATCTTAATATTGAGTCCTCCAATTCATGAACATGGTATATCTTTACATTTATTTAGACATTCTTTAGTATCTTTCTCAGAAATGTTTTGTAATTTTGATCGTGTAAGTCTTTAAAATGTTTTGTGAAATTTATCCTTGAATATTTCATGTTTTAGAATCCTATTATAAACAGTATTTTAAAAGTTAATTTTTCTAATTGTTTCTTGCTAGTATATAGAAGTAAAATTTGATTTTTATACATTGACCTTGTATCCTGTTACCTTTTAAAATTTATTGTAATGGTAGGGGTTTTTTTTCCCCTAATTTTTGGGTTTTCTGTGTACATTATCATGTCATCTGTGAATTTAAGGAAGTTTTATTTCCTTCTGCTTGTATGAATTTAACTTTTTTCTCAATTTAGTACAGTAGCTAAAACCCTCTAGTACAATGTCGAATGAAAGTTGTGACAGTGGACTTGCTTGCCTTATTCCTCCATTTCAGATGGAGAATTTTTAGTCTTTTACCATTTCATATGATGTTAACTATAGGTTTTTTGTATATGTTTTCAGATTGAGGAAGTTTCCTTCTGTTCCTAGTTTGCTGAGTTTTTATCATGAAAGGGTATTAAGTTTTGTGAAATGGTTTTTCTGTATTAATTGAGATAATTTTTTTCTTTATTCCTTTTAATATGTGGTTATTAACCAATTAATTACAGTAACTGATTTACAAATTTAAAATAACCTTGCATTCCTGAAATATGTATTTTCTTTTTTATAAATGGCTGGATGTAATTTGCTAATGCTATGTTAAGGATTTTGCATTGATTAGGAATACTGATCTGTAGGTTTTGTTTGTTCTTTCTTTGTATTCTTTTGGTCTGGTTTTCATATCAGAGTAATAATGACTTCATAAGATGAGTTAGAATGTGTTCCCTCCTCCTGAAAGAGTATTGTGTAGAATTGGTATTCTTTACTAAATATTAGATAGAATTTGCCAGTGAAGCTATCTATGCTTTTTCTTTGTGGGAATATTTTTAATAACAAATTCAGTATTATTTATAGGGCAGCTCACTCTATTTCTTCCTGTGTTGGTGTGCAGAAGAAAATAATTAACAGAGAGGCCTGTGAATGCTCTCCTTAGAAAGGCCTGCTTATAAAGTTGGCCCTTGACTGATACCTGGAAACTTGGATCTGGAGAAGGTTCCCCATCATTACCTAACTGCCAGGAGTGGCTCACTGTGCCTAAACTGTTAGTCAAACATTGTGGTTTATCTGAACATCTGTTTTCTTACTGGGAGTCTGGAGTTCTAGTGCATGCTAGGCAGATAGTGCCTGAATGACCAGCACCCAAAAAACCCTTGAGCACTGAATCTCTGATGAGCTTACCTGGTGGATGAAAATTCACGCTTTTTGTCACAATTCACTGCTGCAGGAATTAAGCATTTCCTGTGTGATTCCACTGGGATGGGACTCTTGAAAGTTTGCACCTGGGTTGCTGCAGACTCCACCCTGATATGCATTTTCCCTGTGCTGTTTTTGCTTTGTATTCTTTTGCTGTAATAAATCTTAGTCATTAGTACAACTGTATACTGAGTCCTTTGACCTTCCTAGCAAGTCACGGAACCAGGGGGTAGTCTTAGAGACTTACACCACAGTCATTTTTGGTAATTTTTGTCTCTCCGGGAACTTGTCCTTTTCATCTGAGTTGTCAGAGAGTTGCTCGTGATATTCCTTTATTATTACATTCCTCTCTAGGATCTGTATTGATTTCTTCTTTTTCATTTGTATTGTCCTGTCTTTCTTCTTCTTCCCACTCCTCTTCCTCCTTTTTCTTCTTCCTCTCTCTCTCTCTCATTAATTTAGCTAGATTTTCAATTTTATTGGTCTTTTCACAGAACCAGGTTTTGACTTCATTGATTTCCTTCTCATTTTTGTTAATTTACTATTTCACTGGCTTTTGCTATTAACTTATTTCCTTCATCATACTTTGGATTTGATATGCTTTTTCTAGCTGCTTAATTTGGAAACTTAGATCATTGATTATTGGTCTTTCTTTTCTAATATAAGCATATAAAGCTATAAATTTTCCTCAAAGCATTGTTACAGCTTCATTCCACAAATTCTGATATGTAGTGTTTCCATCCTTATTCATATTTTAGAATTCCTTTTGTAAGGTTTTCCTTGATCCATTGGTATGGGCATAAACCATATGGGTATCATCTATAACTGTTGTTTAATTTCCAAGTATTTGAGAATTTTCCAAATATCTTTCTGTTAGTGATTTCCAATATAATTTAGTTGTGGTCAGAGAACATTTTCTATAAGACTTTATTCCTTTTAAATATAAATATATCCTTTTAAATATAAATATCCTTTTAAAAAAGACTTGTTTTTTAGCCAAGCCCATTATCTATCTTGGTGAATATTTCTTTTTTTTTCTTTTTTAAAAAGATTTTATTTATTTATTTAAGAGAGAGAGAATGCACACAAGTGGGGGGAGGGGCAGAGGCAGAAGGGAGAAGCAGACTCCCTGCTAAACGGGGAGCCTAAGAGAGACACAGGACTCATCCCAGAGATGCAGGACTCGATCCCTGAGATCATGACCTGAGCTGCAGGCAGACGTTTAGCTGACTGAGCCACCCAGGCGCCCGTCTTGGTGAATATTTCATGTGCCCTTGAAAAGAATGTGTATTCTGTTATTGGTTGGTTGAATGTTTTATAAATGTCAGATCAGGTTGGTTGATAATGTTGTTCAAGTCTTTTCTATCCCTACTGAATTTTTTGTATACTTGTTCTATCAATTAGTGGGAGAAGACTATTGAAATCTTTAATTATAACTGTGAATTTATCTTTCTTTTTTCAGTTCTCTCAGTTTTTGCCTCATGTGTTTTTAAGCTCTGTTATTAGGTGTATATACATTTATGATTGTTATGACTTCCTGATTAATTGATCCTTTTATCATTATGAAATATCTTTATTTTTCCTAGTAATATTTCTTGTCTTGAAATCTATTTTGTATAATATTAATACAGCTATTCCATCTTTTATGATTAGTGCTTGCATTACATGTCCTTTTCAATCCTGTGACTTTTTCTAATGGGAATATTCATAATTCCTTTATGTTGAGTAATGACATGAAGAAGTCTTTTATTTTCTCTTTGAGAACTGTTTCTTGCATTTTTTTTTTTTTCTGGTAAAATATACGTAAAATTCACTACTTAAACTATTTTTATGTGTGCAGTTCAGTGGCATTTATGAATTATTCATTCATAAATGGGCATGGTTGTGTACCAATAAAAGTATATTTCCGAAAACAGTAGGCTGGAGTTGGCCCACTGGCCATAGTTTGCCAAGTGCTTTTCTAGAGTAATTGATCATAGTCTGCTTTTAAATAATATTATGTCAAATTCTCTGATTAGTAAGAAGCTTACAATACTATATTCTCATTTTCTGCTTCCTGATTTTTGTGGTATTTTTATAAAACACTTTACTTTTACATATGTTATCAACTCCACCATATATTGTTATTTATTTTATTTTAAATTGTTAATTACCTGGTTAAGAAAATGAAGAATTAGAGAAAACGTCTTTTACATTCACTCATATTTGCCATTTCAGGCACTCTTTATTTGCTTGTGTAGATCCAGGTTTCTAGCTGGTATCCTATTACTTCAGCTTGAAGAATTTCCTTTATTTGTGCATGTGTGTGTAAGCGTGCACATGTGTGTGGACATCTGGTGAGGAATTCTTCAGCTTTTGTCTGGAAAAGTGGTTATTTCTCCTTAATTTTTAAAGGGTATTTTCACTGGATATAAAATTCTAGATGGCCAGTTTTTTCTTTAATTCATTTAAAGATGCTGTTCCATTGTTGCTTGCATTGCATATTTTGCTTAGGATTTATTGAATGATTTGTGAATCTGTGGAATGATAGTTTTCATCAAATTTGGTGAATTTTTGGTCATTACTTCTTCAAAGATTTTTTTTCTGTCTCATTCCTCTCCTTTTATGGGACTTCAACTACACATACATTAAACTGCTTGATAGTGTCCCCCAGGTTATCAGGTGCTGCACATTGTTTTCAGTCTTTTTTCTCTGTCTTCTCCTATTGGGATTTTCTATTGTTCTGTGCCCTGAAGTCCAATGATCTTTTGTTTTAATATGTTTAATCTTGCTGTTAAGCCTATACAGTGTTTTAAGTATTGTAGGCAGACTCTAAGACAGCCCCAAGTGATTCCTACTCCATTTATTAGTGTTCTTTTGTAATCTTCTCCCCGAGTCTGAGCTGAATTTAGTGACTTGTTTCTAATTAATAAAATACAGCAAAAGTGGTATGATATCACTTCTGAGATTAGGTTTTAAGATGACTGTTGTTTCTGTCTTAGATGCACCACTTAGAGACACCACTCAGTCTTTCTGTGCCTCTTTCTCTGAGCCCATGCAAGGTCCAGGCTATTTGCTAGAGATGCCACATTGTGAAGAGAGGCCCTAGGGGAAGAAAGGCCACATAGAAGAGAACTTAGGCACCCCACCCAACAGCCAGCACCAACTGCCAGCCATTGAGTGAGCTTTTTAGAAGCAGACCCTCCAGCCCCAGTTAAGGCTTCCAGTAATGATAGCTTGCCTAGAACCTCATGAGGGACCCTGAGTCATCAAGCCAAGTCATTAATGAATTCCTGATTCATTGAAACTATGGCATAATAAATATTTGCTGTTTCATACCACTAAGTTTGGGTAATTTGTTACACAGCAATAGGTAACTAATATCTTCTTCTAAGATTTCACACTTAGTAAGTACTGAAACCAGGATTTGAACCCGTATTTATCCAAGACTACAAAGCTCCTGGTAACTACCATACTGTTTTTGTCATTCTCCTTTGCAGATTTTTCCTTTGCAAGTTTCTCTTTTTCTGCCTCATCTGTGGATTTCATTAGCATTTTATCCTTTACCCTCTTTTTTCCCACAAAATATACTCTCACTAGTCTCATCAGCTTGAACATCTTCAGTTGCCATCAGTCTACCAATGATTTTCAAATTTACATTTCCAGGTAAATTTTCTCATAAGCTCCGGATTCATAAATCTGGATGTTCATTAGACATCTCCACCTTATTATCTTACTAACTTTTCACACTAAGCAGGTTCAAACAACCCATGACATTTTCATCCACACCTGCTACTACTCCTGTTTTCTAGTTGAGTAAATAACATCCACCAGTCACCTACATACCTAACCTGAAGTCTGTGAATCAATCTTGACTCTCTTTCACATCCTATCATTCATCAAGTCCTGTTTATTAGCTCATAAATAATTCGTGTATCTATTCAGTTCTTCATCTCTAATGGTATCGCCTCGACTATGGCACTATGACACTCTTCTGATGCATCTCTCTGCCTCGTGCTGTCTCCCTTTAATTCAGTATTTTTCAGACTTCTAGGTGCAGCCTATTAGTGGTTCATGGAAATTAGTTTAGTGGTCTGTGACCAGCATTCTTTAAAAAATGAAATAAAGTAGCACAGAAAACAATGTAATCTCATTAAGAGTAGATATTTGGTGTGCTGTGTTGTAGAACATTTATTTCTCATTGCAGGTTTTAATCAATGAAGTTTAGAAAACATTAATCTATTCTTGATGCTGCAGCCAGAATGGTCTTTCCAATCAGATCATGTTTATTACCTTGTCTAAAACCCTTCAGTGACTTCTCATGGTATTCTTGGAACTCCTCCACATGCTGTATTTGGCCCTTAATGACCTGGGCGTAGCTTACCTCAAGCATCATCTCTCTCCATTCTCCCAGGAATGTAAGCTCTAGCTGAAATAAATCCTTAGTAGTTCCATGGAAAGACTATAATCTTGCTTGCATTTAGCATCTGTATATGCCATTTGTTTTCCCTGGAGTGCCTCCTTATCCTCATCTAGATTCTTTTCCTATCTTCCTCCTGGATTGTTTTTTGATGCTAGGGTCTGTAGGTTGCTCATCATTGTATCCAAAAGCTTAGTGCAGTGTTTCCATGGAGTATGTGCTGAATATGTATAGGGAATAAAAGGATGTTGAATTGATTCACTATTTTAAAGATACATAAAAATACCAAATACTTAAAACAATTCGCTAGCCACGACTACCTTGCTTTTAATAAAAGAGTGGTATTTTATTACATATAATGTGTGAGATTACATAATAATGTGGAATGCATGTTGAAAACCTCAAAGGGTCTCAATTTTGTTTAAATATGATAAACTATACAAAATGAGGTTAAAGTGATCTTGTTACAAAGAGTAGTATATTAAATTTAGCAAGTCATTTGGCTTTCAAATAGAAATTGCTGAATGGTTGACCTGAAACACAGATTCTTTCATCAGCAGAATTTGTTCAGATGTCTTGTACTACTTAACAATATGTTTTACATTAAAGGTATTTTTTTCCATTTTACATTAGAATATTCCAGAAGTAAATACTAAAAACAGTGAAATGTCAATGGAAAAATCAGAAAACATCATCATACAGAAATACAATTCTGGGCAAGGAATAAAGAAAGATACTTTGAGTTTTTGTTCAGATACTAACTACAGAGAAAAGGAGAAGAAAGAAGGTCCATTTATAGAAGTCATTATAGAAGGTAACCAGCTTATTGCTATTTTCTAATTTTATATATTGAGCACCCCCCCGCCCAAAATAAAGGATCTGTCAAAGTGCTGTGCTAGGCCATCTATGGAATTTAGGGGAATATCAGTTACAGTCTTTGCTTTGAGAATCCTGTACTATATTTGAAGAAACACTTTTTCATTTGTATATGTCTTAAGACAGGCCTCTTTTGAGCTATTCTTTACAGTCAGTATTTTTGGGGAAAATTCTGTTTCTGTCTTATCATTTACTCCATGGCTTTTTGCACTGTTTTCTGCATTCACTGCTTTGTGGAGTGTGTTCTCTGGGATACGAATAACCTTCTGGTATCAGACCTAGAGCACTTTTCTTAGTTCAGATGGCCTTTCTGTAACCATTGAAATAATTTACTAATTTGTCCATCTTGAAAAAGAATTGTTTATAAACACCATAAACTTAATTGTATGAAAGTTTTCAAACCTAGGCTGAACAACCACTTGGTGGAGACGTTGTAGAGAGAATGAATGGACTAAAGCCCTTCAAGTCCTGAATTTTGTATTCTAAATTTTAACCGTATGGAAATTTTGAAATCTATGGTTAAAACCCAGATGAATAAAATATGTGTCTTAAGTATTTTATACATTTGCCCAAAAGTATCCCCAAACTTTAAAATACTTAGAAGGTAATGAATAAAAAGTGATGATTGTCTTGAAGAAACAGCTAGCAATTCTGGATCCTGTAGTTTAAAAAGAAAACCACAGGCCTAAAATGGAGTCTCTCGTGTTAAGAACCTCATGTCAGCAAACCAAAACTTAATACCTAACCAAACTGCAGCTTCAACCCCAGGAATGTAACCTTTAATCAGTCAACCTGGAATTTCCTGGTCGGCAATAAGAAATCCATTGATAGACCTCTTCCTTTCCCCTTAGGAGGGCGACCTTGCCTAAAACAATGTATTCTTTGCTAATAATTTCCTTTTTCCACTCATTCACTACCTTTAAAAACCTTTCCTTTTTTTCCGTAGCTCGTTGGGGATCTTTTCTCTTTGCTAGATAGGATGCTGATTCAATGAATCATTTAATAAAACCAATTAGATCTTCAGATTTCCTTGGTTAAATATTTGTTTGACAGTAGTAATAGAAATTAGAGTCTAACTTGTTAGGATAAATTCATTTTTATTTACTCGACTGTGTGTTTACATGGAATTGTACTGCATGCTCAAAAGGAAGTGTAACAGACTAGAAAACTAAAAACCATTTCCTAATACCCTCAACTTACTTCCCTCTTTTTAAACCAAAAATACTTTTGCTGTTATGAAATAAAAATTTAATAGGAGTAGAGCCAAATATTTAGCACGCTAAATATATATTATGACCAAGGGAACTCAGTATTTCGTAAAATTGGTATCATAATGTTTGTGTAATGGCCAATGAAATATTTAAGGCTAAATATGTTTTTACATAAATAGGTAATACATTATGTCTTATAAAAGCAGGTTTTAGTGTATAATATAAAAATACTGTGTTCTCATCATGACAGATTTACAGCTTTTTGAAAAAAGCTCAAAGAATGAAACTGATCCTGCTATATCTCAGGATAAAAATCAGAGTGAAATCTCCCTAAGCAAAACCCTTGGCACAGAAAAAGAACTAATTAGTCAAGGACAAACCTTGAATGTTACTGACTTTAGAAAAGCAGTTACTTCAGAAATAAAAGACAAGGTGGGTTCGGGAAAAGACAATGGATGTACAGAATTTAAGTCACCAAACAATTCTTTTTTAGTGGTAGATAGATCAATAGAAACAGAAAAGATACGCCTAGAAAGAACTGAAGGATTCGATCTTCACCATGCAGATGTCCATCTGGAGGTTGAAAATAACAGATCATCTAACAGTATATTAAGTGAGATGATGGCTCACCATACAAATCAAAAGAAAGATGTTTCTGAAGATGAACCATTCATACAATTCAGATTGCTTCCAGGGATTCAAGAAAATGCCACAGAGAAGGAACTTACAAATAGTGACCAAACCAAAGCAGATCTGGATTCATCTCTCAACGTAAAAAAGAATGCTGTTCAGTGTCAGAAATACAGTTTACAGGAGTCAAGTAATGTTATGTTAGATGATAAACAATGTAAAATAAACCAGATGCAACTGTTAAATAAAAAAAGTGAGTGCAGTGTATTGCCATTTAAACAAACTTCAGTTTTTCAGCAGATCTGTAGTAATACTTCAGAGAAACCTGAACTAACTATTCCCTCTGATACAGCAACTAACCACCCTATTTCATCGGCTGCTTTCAGTGAGAATTTGAAAGTACTTAAGAATTCAGATAAAAATGTTAATATTATGCCTATGTTGGTGAAACCCAACTCCAGCCCTAGTGAAAGAACTATATGGAAAAATCTGAATGAGATGCACACTAGTCAACTGAAGAACTGTTTGGGATATTTAGGAAACAGTGCAACCACTTCCCATCTTCAAGTTAAAAATGAGAATATACATACATCACAAGCAAAAGACATGAAAACTGCTGTTCCTACGCAAACTTCCACAGAAATACAGTTTTCTAATAAAGAGAGTCAGATTGATGAGAATCAGGTAACTGACGCCACAAAAAATGACCTCTTCCTTTTTGTGAATGTCAATGAAAGACAGCATTCATTGTTAGATAATACAGAGAAAACAGAGTCATTAAATGACATCGTTTCAGGAAAAATTTACAGTGAAGGACAGCTGGAAGAATCATGTTCATTTCACATAAAGCCATCTGGAGATTTAGTAAACAGAAGTGGAAGGTCAGCCTTTGATCTTTCAACTTCAGATAAAAAAACTGAGAAAATTCCAGTATATGTGAATTTCTTAGACCCTAGTCCTTGGTCAAAAGTAAATCAAACTAAAAGTCAAACACTGAGCACTTCAACTTCTAGCATTCCTTTGTTGAAGGAGAGACCAGTAGGCCCATCAGAAAACAAAAATATGGTTTCAATGACACTTTGTAAAAACGATGATGATGATATCAAGAAGGATATTGGACCAGGTAAGAAAACAATGTTTATGTTTTCTTTTAAAATTTGAATTTCTACTCCTTATTCCTGATAAAGGGGCTGTTTATGTTTAAAATGAAACCATTTAAAATGTATTTTTTTTTTACCTAAACCTAAGATACTCTATACATGTATATATGTAAAAGTAGGAAAGGTTTTATTTAAATGAGGGGATTTCTTTTCGCCTAAATCTGAGCCGCTAATAGCAACACGTGCAAATGCATACTGGAAATTTAAAAAAATTTCACCAAGAAACTGGAAATAGCAGAAACAACCACAGGTCTAGGTCATTAATTTTAAATTAGCAACTATCTAATTGGAGTCTCGCAGTTGTTAAGGCTTCTGCCGGTGGGCACGTTTATTCCTTTTCATTCTATACTGAAAAACTTCCCTTATTTTCTTCTCCCAATTTTCTCCCTCTTTCCTTGATTTGTCTACTTCTAGCTTCCCTTCACCAGCACTAGAATCCAGCTTTCTTCATTTTATAAGCACTGTTGAGGTGTAACATTAATACATTTCATATCATTGATATTTGTAACTCAAACACTTTAAACGGGATCCCTTAGTTATGTACCAACATTAAAACATTCAGATATCCAACATTTCAGAGAATAGTGTATTCTAACCACCACATGAAATAAGTGTCCAAAGTTTTGCTTTATAAAAATATTCTAGAGTAAAAAATAGGGGGAGAGGTAAATGGATGAATACATAGGACTTAACATTGATGGGTGTTTAAGCTGGGTGATGGTCCTAAGTTCATACTCTATTTTTGTGTTTGAAATTTTTCCCACCAAAAATATTTGGAAATAGAAATATACTACGTATCACATACAAATGCTGTACAGATGTAACTTGAACAATGAACAACAGTTTAAGATTATCATGAAAAAAGTTTGCTCTACTAAAAGCAATCTCATAGTGAAAGTTATTGAGGTTATTAAAGATATTCTTAGATTTTAAAGGAACTTTAACAGTGTGCTTTTAGACCCACTAAAGAAATGCAGATTACAAGAAAGCTCTGAATAGCCCTCAGAGCTACCGGATTCTTTAAAAAAAGGCAATTGATAGAACTTTGAAGAGAAAAATTGGGAATTAAAAGCAAAATAAGCATATCAGGTTTACTAGCATAAATGGAGAGGTAATGCAGGGAAAAATAGAAACCACCAAAATACTGTAAAACCTCATTTTGCACACTATAATTTTCCTAATAAAATAAAATGTATTAACTTCAGAGTGCATTCATCTTGAACCTGTTGAATGCTGCAGTGAGGCAAGTGCTGTTAAGGTACTGGTCTCGTGTTTACCGTTTTCTCACAAGGCCTTTCTTGTAAGTTAAATCTCAATGATATAAATAAGTAAGGATGGAAGGGGAGATCTAAAATTCTGTAGAAATTCAACTTGTAAAATATCCACTCATAAAAGATACAAGTATCTTTTAACCTTCAAAGCTGACATGTTTCTCTAAATCATTTTTATCTACTTATTAAGTTCCAGTGACCCCTACTAGTCAGCCCGTTTGTTGTGTGTCTTACTGTGGCCGGTTTTATATTTTATAAATCTTGTAGTTGGTTCAGACTTTTTCCCGTCAATCTTAACTGTTAAGATGGCTCACTTAGTATGTTTACATCTGTGGCAATGCAATAACCAGGGGAATTAAGGTAACACTTTATGGAAGTTATTCTGTTTTAGAAGATATTTATACCATTTCACTCATTTTAGTGTGGAACCAGCACGTTTTAGAAAGTAGCAATAAAATTATGTTTTCTGAAATGAAATGCCTAATGTATATTGAGCAAAGTCAACGAAGACTACAAAATGTTCAAAGTAAAAACAAAATAGAAATTGTTGCTTTTTAAATAGAAAAGCATAGATAGGATCAGAGAAAAACAAGTTCAGTCACTAAAATGAGTGCCTGGAGAATAAAATTCAGTTGTTGCCATTTCCTCTTTGTCAACCAGATACTACCAGCATTAACAGAGTTGCTGACACTTTGAATAACTCGAGTATCCATCCAGATCCCAAGGGAGAGCCCAGTGAAGAGAGGAATGCAACTGCAAAGACTTTTTACGATTCTTCTTTTCCCACAGAACACGTAAGTCAATTAAAAATATTGCCGAGCAGACCTTAGTGAGCTAATTCTACAGATATGTGTAGAACTGTATGCATCTGGATGCTTTAAGACCTCACTGATCTCCAAAATAATATCAAGAGGGCAACATGGCACCATTTTTCACAATTAAGGTTGATGGGAAACAGCAGGAAAAAGTCCCAGTGTATAAATCAAATAGATATAACCCAGCCTGTTTTGGGAAGGACAGCGTGAGGTAGTGTGTTATGTATGTACTTCTATTTTTTAGTCACCCAAACTTAGGAGTAGTGGCATTTGGGCATTTAAAATTTTATCTTAATAAAAGATGCCTCAAAATAATGCAATCAATTAAGTTCCATTGTTCTTGATAGTGCTTTTAAGTAATTACATCATTTTGGGAAACTACTGCAAAGAAAGAAATTTAAATTATTTCCATAGTTAGAACACAGTATGCGAAGGAATCAAATATCCTTAATATATGTGATATCAAGTATGGGGGTATATATATTTTAAGCAAAGTATTTGTAGAGATTACATGGCTCCACAAGTCCATTTGTCATATGACAAGCAACTAACTACAGCTGACCAGTTTTTTGGCAAAATTTACAAGTTATTTTTATCTCAGAGTGCAAAACTTGAGCATGAAAAAGCCTGTATTGTTCAAAATCTTAAAAACAGGCAATTACAGGTGTTAACTGCTAAAAGGTATAACCTAAAAAGGTTAGGAAAGATTACTTACAGAAAAAAACCAAGTGCACAGTGACAAATTTTAAAGTCACTGTGTATTTTTTAAATTTTAGAGGTACACATAAACTTTCCCTTAGGACCTATAAAACAAAAATTACAGCACTAACACAGCCTTAACAAATACCAGCTTTTAACAATGTATTTTATTTTCGTTTTTAAATTAAGTTCATTTAAGTTTTAAAATGCACCCCAGGCTGATATAAAGAAGACTGGTCACCTGGCTGGGGGAAATTTTACGCCAAAGAGTAGATCTTTTAGGCAGAAAGAGGAGATACAGCGGTAATGAAGTGATTTTTAAAAGGAAGTGATAGGAAAGGAAGGAGCAAAGATATGTAGGGACATGTCTGGAACGAGAATTACTGCTGTAGGCTGCAAAACCTCAATTAAGCCAAATATGACAAGTTGTTACGTGTAAACTTTAACACTACATCTTGTTTCTCCAGCCAATCCCTGCTCCTGCCCCTCCCACCAAGTAGGTAGTTAAGGGGAAAGAAGCTAAAGCAGGTATGTGTAAATGTCTCTTGTCTCTCCATCATCAAGATAAAGAAGTCAAGGATTCTGGAAAATTAGTAATTTGAACCTGATATCAAATGCACCAAAATGCATCAAGCATTGTGAGAGACCCCATTAAATCATAAGACCATCAGTCAGTTTACCTCAAAATCGGCAACCTAAAGTTAGATTTGATATATTTCTCTAGATCTAGTCTCTATATTGCATGATGACTTACTTTCATTTTGGCCCTGTGAGCTAAATGATGTATGTTGGGTACTTACATGCCATACATTATCAGAAATACACATTTATGCCCATTTTTATCCATTACCAGTTACTCTACAACAGCATTTTGCAGCTAAACAGTGCTGATACTTTCGTTTTCATCTGTTACTTCATAAGAACATAGGCAATCAACTATGAACACAGCATCACCACAAGGATCAGAGGCTAAGAGTTCAAGGGGACTGTGGCTGACTGTAGAATTTTCAGGAGCCAAGCAGACCCATCCAAAAGGAGCAACCCTTAGGGAACTGAGGTTAAATGTAAACATTTAAGCTCACTGAAATATTATTACTATATAATCTCACTTTGAAAACAATGTTCTGCATGTGCCACCTTTTCCAGTCTAATGGGGAAATTTTAATGTAAGATAATACTCGAAGATCTTCACAAAGATCTGTAAACAAAATATATTCATTATAGCCTAATTTACAACAGTAAGCATTTCCCAGCAACTTAAATGTTCAACATATTACATTATGGAATATGGAATATAATGGAGCCATGTTCTTAGACTTTTAAGAACAGAGGAAAATGCTATAAATGTTCTAAACACAGAATAGAAAATATAATTATGATCCAGATTTTAAAAGTATACACACACGAAGAGACCAGAATATTTACATCAAAATGTTTAATGGTAGTTGAGATTTTAGGTAATTTTAATGTAATTCTTACTAAAATATATAATAACCTTTTACCAGATTTTATCTGGAATCAGAGAAGACCATTGAAGATTTTTTTTTTTAAAGAAATTTTGTGCAGCCACTGACAATGGTTTATGAGAAATTTTAAAGAACTACGAAACAGCCCACAGAGGGAAAAACCAGGACATAAAATTTCTATAGAATGATCAAATATGCTAAAAATAGAAAAAAAGACTAGTAGCAAATAATACTAAAATGTTGACCATTCTCTCTGGATAGATTACTAGTGATTTTAGTTTCTTTATTGGAAGTTTAGATAATAGAGGAAAAAGTATAATTATTATCAGAAAAAAATCTTAAAATGAAAAACTTACAATACTGTGTTAAAAAATATGACCCAATGCAGTGCCTTGGAAACATGCCAACTTCCAAATACCTCACTGCTCTTTCCTGTCTGTCCAACAGTGGTGCTCTGAAGCAGGAGAGGAAACAAAGTAAAAGGCAGTTTCTATATGGCAGTCTACCTCCGTTAGCATTTTGTTTTTTAAAGATTTTTATTTATTTATTTGACAGAGCTAGATAGCACAAGCAGGGGGGACAGTAGAGGGAGAGGGAGAAGCAGGCTCCCCGCCAAGCAGGGAGCCCGATGCGGGGCTCGATCGCAGGCCCCGGGGATCATGACCTGAGCCGAAGGCAGATGCTTAACCATCTGAGCCACCCAGGCGCCCTCCTCCATTAACATTTTTAATTTTCCCCTGGCTTTGATAGAAGATACCAAACATAGACATGTTTGGGAGGGGAAGAGGAAGGAGTAGCAGACAAAACAGATTTTGATCTGCAATAGTTTTAAATATCTTTTCTTTCAGTGTAGGCTCAAGACCTTTTAGAAAATGTTCATGGTATCCCTGGACTTTACTAGGGATCTTAAGGATCTACTACACAGGCATGAGCCTCCAGGTGCACATTTTATTGTTTTATGCCAAAATAAGTTGAAAATTAGTCAAGAAAAATGATGGCTTTATCACATACTCATAATTGCAGGATTTTCTTTTAACTCTTATTGATGATTTTAAAAAAAAAACGAGCAATTTCAATGGTAAGGAAAACAAGTTTGGTCTTTTCTAGGTGAAAATAAAGCCTCTGAAATCAGTTCTGCTCCAAAGCCATTTTCAGGCAACCAAGATTAAAGATCCTGCCGATGTGGCTGCACCTTCTACTGTTGAAGATGACTGGCAGAGCCTAGTAACAAATCAAATTAACGAAATCGAAAACTTCCTAAGCTTAGAAAATGACAACCAACCTAAGAAAAGAAAAGCAGAAGAGATGTTGGAAAAAATGACAGATTAAAAGAATGTTGATAAATGCTTTCAGTGGTGAACAGAGATTTAATTGAAATATCAATAAGGTTTTGACTAGAACAAAATGTTGCACCTAAAGCCTTACAGTTATACTCTTCCAATTTCTTTTGATGTGGTGAAATTATACTATTATCCAATTCCCCCTAAATTAAATGTGCTTTCCTCCATATATCCCTTCATCAAAGCTATTTGCTGCACCCTGAACCCCCTTCCTTGCGAACACAACTTATGAAATATACAAGATAGATAGTGACCCTTTGCAACTGATTACTTTGTATCCTCTGAAACTTGTGACTTTTTACATTTCTTTAAACTTAAGACAATAATGTCCAGACTGTAGTCAAATTTCAGTTTGTTTTACTGTGATTTAGATTTTTTCCAAAAAGAACAAAATTTTATATGTAGCATAAAAATTCATGTATCAGAAAGACTCAAAAGGCTGTTTTTCACTTTGTTCAAGTTTTGTTTCCAGGCATTTAGTGTGTCATACAGCTGTTGCCACTGCTGTTTTCCAAATGTCCGATGTGTACTATGACTAAAAATTGAAAAATTAAAAACAAAGTTATTGTCAACTTTATATCCTTTTGGCATTCTTTTACAATACTACACACTTATATCTAGTTAAAAACAAGGTTAAATATACATGAAAGACCTAAGCTTCTAATTCTTACCATTCTAAATTATTTTTTAAAAATCTTTATCATATTGATCCTAAACCTTCTATTTTCCTGAACTACATAAACCAGACACAAAAGTCATTAGTATTCTAGCCAATGCTGAGCCATTAAATGAAATGTGCTGGAAAATAGGACTCTTTCATTAAATAAGCTAATCACATTCAGTCTGAACTTTAATAAAATTATGATAAATAGCAACTATTTAACTACAGTCAACTGATAAGAACACTACCTCGGTTCTCTAAACATTTAAGTGAAATAATCGGAACAAACTAAATTGTTCTACAAAATGCTGCAAAGTCTTAAGTGTCTTACCTGACAACTACTTTCCTCTGGGTCTGATCAATTTTGCAGTAGACCATTTTAGTTCTTACTGCTGAAAAAAGACGTTTTACAGGGTACGTTATATGGAAAATTCCCAAGAAAAACAGCTAAGATATAAAACTAAACCACAATAAACTTTACAATTTTCAAACATTATTTTATAAACCAGCTCTCTGAATCTAGTAACAAGCACAGCAGTGTGATGGAACCAAGAGGAAGGTCGTGCATTTGTCCTATGGTTGCTGGGTGAATCTATACTAAATATCACATACAGTTTTTATTAAGAATTCTAAGTGTTCTCCCCTACAATTGCATATGGGGGAAAACACTAATTTCCTAATAAGGTATTACTCCTTTATAGGACAGTTTGAGACTTAGAGCATTAAAAAGAAACCATGTCAATAACTCTGTACATTTTATTAATCCTGACTGGGCAATTCCCCCAACTTTCAAACTTAAAAAGCCCAGAAAAAAAATCTGAGTAACAATTAAATCATATTATAATGTAATTGTTGGGAAAGGTCCTGTTTCTAGCCAATGATAAAAAAAATGATAATGATTAATATTTACAGATCATTTACTATGTGCCAGGCACTGGGCTAAATAAATAAAGTGCTTTACCTGCATTACTTCATTTAATCCTCACAACCATGTATTAACTCCTACATTCCTGTTTCAGAGGAAGACCTGGCCCTCAAATCCAGATCTGATACTAAAATCAAGGTTCTTAACCACTACGGTATACTGCCTAAAGGCCATTATTCTGTATGATTTCGAGGAACAGAACACCAAAAACCAAAGAGCAAGTTGTATTTCCACTGAATTTTCACTCTACTACAAATATAATCTGCAAGTCAAAACATTCATACCTGCTACAAGAGAACCTAGCTTTGTTAGAATACGACTCAGTTTCAAGATACAAAATCTTTTTTTATTGTTTTCTTAAGCAGGCTCCATGCTGAACATGGGGCTTGACCTCATGACCCCGAGATCAGGAGTGGCATGCTCTACGGACTGAGCAAGCCAGGCACCCCAAGATATAAAATCTTATATTCCAAAAGATAAAAGAGAAATTCTAGGAAAAAAATGAAAATATTCTAATTGCCTTACCGTCAATAACAAATGCTTCAACATCATCGGCTCCAATCTGAAGTTCTTGCTGCATTGTGTCAAAAGAAATTTCTTTATTTTCCACTGCCATTCCCATAAAAGTAAGCAGTCTCATTTTTGCCATATTCTGTTCATGTAATAGACCTGAATAACACAGTGGTTAAAGCTGGATGAACATCCGTACTAGTTAAAGATCTGCACAATTACAACTCTTGTGTCAAAAGTCACTGAGCAGGGTGCCTGGGTGGCTCAGTTGGTTAAGCGACTGCCTTCGGCTCAGGTCATGATCCTGGAGTCCCAGGATCGAGTCCCGCATCGGGCTCCCCGCTCGGCAGGGAGTCTGCTTCTCCCTCTGACCCCCCCCCCTCTCCTGCTCGCTCTCTCTCATTCTCTCAAATAAATAAATAAAATCTTAAAAAAAAAAAAAAAAAGTCACTGAGCATTTACAGAGCAGTTGTGACAAAGCTGCTTATATTTGCAAACCATAAACTGACCCCATAATTAAACTATGGAATATTACAGTTATTCTTCTAGAACTACGTTTCTTTACTGCTACAGTGCCACAGGTCATAGGTTCAAAGTAAGAATGGGCTATAAAATGGTATTTTTTAAGCCCTAGAACTTCTGCACATTTTACGTTTTTTATAGTTACAGATTTTAGGAGATAAAACGTACAAAGTTTATTTCATAAGAACATTTTTATTTAATTACTTAAGCTTATTTTTACTATTTGCTCTCCATTTAAACACAAGATTCCTTACCTTTTGTTGTGTGTCAGTATTACTAGTAAACATGAAGCCTTAAAATATTTTCATATACATTCTGTTATGAAAACATTCCATTTCCCAGGTCACTTTGGATTTAATAATTAAGTCAAAAGGGTGTTCATCACTTAACAATTACAGGCTACACTGATTAGTACTAGATAAAATTAAATAGTACCATTAACAGTGATACCTGAAGTAGAAAACTGTACAAATAATTCAAATTTTGCCTTTTAACTTCTAGTGAAACATGCGGTTACAATTTTTCAGATCACAAACAATTGTGAGAGCCAAAAGGAAACTTTACAAATTACCCAGTCCTGATTCTTTCATTTTAAAAAATAAGAAAACTGAAGAGCAGATTAAATGACTTAGTCAAAGTGGTGTAGTAGGCCTAAAAGATATATTTGCTTATAAAATAAATGACTAGTAATACATATATTTATAAATCCTGAATATCTAAATTATTACCAGTTCCTAAATGGAAATGGAATTATAACACAATATCATATATACTTGATTTGATGCTAACTTATTACAAAAACAAGTTTCTAAAATTAATCTAAAATTACACGTTCGTTTTCTCTGAAGTTTCAAATTATGAAACTGAGCAAATGATCATGTACCCTCTAATAATTAAGAGCCTCAAGTTTCCACTGTTAAAAAAGTTCTAAGCACTCCATAAATAAATTTGAAATTTATAACATATATTAGCAGAAGACAAGGGAAGCCCATTAATACAGGACATAATCATCTGTTAATTAGCTGTAATTATGATGCAGGCCTTCTATTTGGCACAGATTCAACAAAAACATGATCATCATAACTCAAATGAATGAGGTATCCAAGTAAGTACTGCTAACCGGGTTTAATGGAAATCTACAAGCATCAAAAAATCAATTAGTGCACATTAACCCTAATTAACAAATTCAAATTAGATGCTGATTAACTTTCTGAAGCAAGAAGGTAGCAACTGTATAACACCAGATTACATGTAGACATGTTAGGGCAATTCAGCTGACACAGGATAATGCTTACTATTGGCCCAAGTTGTCACTGTTAATAAAGTGTTTTTGATAAAGTGATGCCACCTGTAGAATCTAGACATTTGTAACCAGACTTTGAGTTGTAATAAACGTTAGCAATACATGTAAAACCAAAAATACGCACACTTATTAAGATATTTTGCCGAAAGCATCTTTTACAAATGTCTAATAAAAGATAGCTTATTTGCATACATGTTCAAGAAACTGAAGGCAAAACAGGGAACTGGACTTCCGGTTGGCACCATAAATTAGAAATGTTACGTTTTTCCTATCACAGAAAACAACTACTAAAGATTTTTCTCAATATTTTCAAATACAAGAAAATTCCTTAACATCCCCAGTTCTGTGGGCATATACACTTCTCTTTCAGTATGATAAAATGATATTCCTAAAGTTTCTAAGATATAATTAAAATACTATTTTACTGCTACTCTTTGTGTAGTTACAAGCTTACATAAATTTAAGAATTTATCAGAGAAATGAAGATTATTTCTAAAGTGCATTATGTAAAACCATTATCTATCTTACATGTGGAAACCTGTGTGTTAGAACTCGTTCTCAAAACCAAAACTATTAAGCCAGTGAAGTATGAGTTAAAGACTTGTAGAAAGCTGTGCTTTGTTTCATGAAACTAGAACATTACCGTCAAAGAGGAAGTCACAGTGTTCTGTGTCATATTTCAATTTTAAAGTTATAAAAAAATCTAATTTTATGGAAACATTTATTCATTACTAATATGTCAAAACCTTAATGCAGTAATAAAAAAATGTGCATCATTGAGCAATTTCTGCATTGTCACTGACCCCTGTCTTAAAATGCTGCAATATAGAAAACGTAATTTTAATGCATGCAATAGCTTATGAACCAGTGCTCCTTTGAAACAGTCAATTACACATCAATGGGGGAGTGTCAAAGTGTTAATTACTACTCCTTTTTCCTTGGTGCGTAAATAAAGAGGTTGCTGACATTAACATTCCATCACATAGCTTCATGCCACAAAACAAATTAACTGGGACAGAATGTGGTTTTTCTGGGTCTAGTGCACCTGGCAAAGCATTCTACACAAAC